GTCTAAGAACCTATGTGGTCTCATGGATGGAGGGAAATGAAGGGCAGCTTCTGTTGTGATAGAGCACCTGTAGGTAGAAGTCTGACTTGGCTCCGTGTCGTTGAAGAAGGAGGACACAGACTTTTAGGATTAACTACCTCGTCATTTGAGTATCGTATGGGAGAAACCCCGGAAAACTCCCACCAGATAGTTCGACTAAAGAGGCACGGTACTGAATATCACAAACACCAGAGTCTCTTTGTTTTTTGAAACAGTGTCTACAACAAAGCCGCCAGCGGATTGAATGTGCTTGATTGTTGCGATTTTTTGACTGGAAAAAAATGACTTCCAAGTCATTCAACAGTTGTGACACTGTGAGTGGAAAGCCCATTCACCACGGCAAAGTCATAACAAATTGGATTGGGAAAATCGGTGGAACTTTTTTTTGATTACCATACCGTTTCCCCCTTCTTCAAGATGCAATAAAAAAAAACTTCCGCAAGTTTTTAGCTTAAATTACTGATTAATACAATAAACCTTTAAAGGAAAAAGTGTGTACTTACGTATTAACGGTAGCTTGGCGACAGACTTGGCGGTTTTTAAGTGTCGCCAATCTTTATTATTTGGAATAAAAACATTTTGAAAGCGTTTTGATTTTAAATGAAGTGTTTCATATATATTTTATTATTTGGAACAAAAATTTTAAGTGTAGATTGGCGCCAAATCTGTAGCTGCGGTTGGCGCGTGTGCTCTTTACTGGCGCAACTGTCGCCAAGGTACCGTTAATACGTAAGTACCAAAAAAACAACAACCCCGATTCCTCTTTCCATGTTAGATAATCAATATTTACGAGTCTACGATTCTTCCAGAACCAAAGCTTCATGTTAACCATTGTTAGTCGCGTTTCCCCCGACTATTTCCAAATGTAAAGGCAGACTTTGGCATGCAAATGCGCCCAGAATTTAGTGAACAGCTTCACTTTCAGCGAGGAACCGAGGCCTGAATACTGACTAAGCCTCAAGACAACTCTGCCATCCTATTAGACCGGGACCTCTACAGTCATATTTGTAGTGGTTCGGAAATCACTTTTAAGACGTAGGTCCCGGTCTCATAGGACTGTAAGAGTGTCACAGAGCCCAGTCAGACTTCTCACCCCCATCATTTCCAAACTGTATTGGCACAGTGATGTGGTGTGGTGTAATAGTTATATTAGACCGGGACCTACGGTTTAAAGTGGATTCCAAACCATTACAAACCTCCATAGCAACCGCCGAGATTCGTACCCGAAACCTGCAGTACCGAGCGCCAGAGCGTTAGTCAGTCGGCCATCAGGCCCATTAGTCATTCATTCATCCCCCTTTGCATAATTGTTGCGTCTTTTTTATTTTATTTTACAGTGCATATTTCGAAATTAATTATGCTAAAGTGGGTTATTTTGTGTCATTTTTGTAAGGCATCTAATGCATTTCAACAATCGCGGGAAGCCGTTTGAGCGTCTCACAAAGCAAAGCGTCACTCAAACACTCATGAATATTTTGACGTCACATTTCACACAGATCTCAAGGACAATGCAACCTAAAAAAGAAAAGAAAAAAAAAAAAAAAAAAAATTGGAATACCATATGCCCGGGAAATTTAAATTCAAAACTGGTCTTAATTTTTTGGACACAGTAGTATATATATAATATTATCCTTTTTTTTTTGTACCAATGCAGCTGGCAAACACTTAGACAATTGTCTTTGATGCCTTAAGGCAAGCGCTGCACAGACGTTACTCACTTAGAACTACCCAGGAGGTGCGTGTAGCTTGAAGATAAGACACGAACACGGAGTAACACTACCCCCGTAAACGCCCAACGATCATGTTAAACCGGGACCTGCGATTTGAAATGGATTCCGAACCACTACAAACATCCATGGCACCGCCGGGATATCGAACCCGAAACCTGTGGTACCGAGAGCCAGAGCGCTAGCCACTCGGCCATTCAGGACCCTTTTTTATAAGATGTGATAATAAAAAAAAACTTTCGCAATTTTTAGCTAAAAATAAATAAATAAATAAAACTGCATACTCTCTCCATGAGTTTAATCGTCCTCTACTGGGCCTACCAGAACCAAAGCTTCATGATAACCTTCGTTAGCGTGGTTTCCCCAACTATTTCCAAATATATAGAGGCAGACTTTGCCACGAAAATGCTCCAAGGATTTACGTTGGGTAAGAGTACTCTTATACCAAGAAGAAATACTATGGATGCAAAATAAATCGTTAAACTTCTTCTGCAGACTGATAAGAAAATCCCTCGGCGATTTTATTTTGGGAATTCTGTGTACTTTTTGGGGTCCCCCCGTGCTCCTGAAGTAGGCAAGGGGGGAGAAATGGGGGGTGCTTGCAGCGGGGAAGAAAAACTCTCTCCCCACTCCTCATGCAGTGAAACCGAGTCCTGTTCCTCCTGTATATGCTGGGATTTTGCTGAGTGAATTGTTTGCACCGGCGGAAAGTTCCTTTCAGTTGTTGAGACGAGAGCTTTTATCTCTATGGTGTGATATTGATTTTTTTTTTTTTTTTTTTTTTTTTTTAAGGTGGCGGAAGGACTTTTTTTCTTTCTTTTTGTAGTTGAATTATTTTGATGTGTCGTGATTTTCTGTAGATATCTAAAACTTTTTACAGACTGTGATAATTAACCCAAAAGGGCCTGAATGGTCGAGTAGCTAGCGCTCAGGCGCACCGTACCACAGGTTTCGGGTTCGAGTCCCGGATGTTTGTAGTGGTTCGGAATCCACTTTAGGCCGTAGGTCTCGGTCTCATATGACTGTAGAGCAGGGGTCTCCAAACGTTTCAGCCTTCGGGCCATATTGCTTACTTCAGTAAGTACCAAGGGCCAAAACCGTTTTAATTTTTCTGCCATTATGTATAATTTCTAGACTAGTCGCCGAGTACATACTCTGAGCGAACAGGTTTATGTTCGATTCAGGATATATACATTCCAAACATCGATATACATACTCTTTACCCCAATATAACTACCGAGGGTAACCGCGGGATGTTCACTAGTTTATAATGTTAGTGGGATTCATTTCAATTATGTGTTAGTTGTTATGCTTAAGTTACATTTTCTGAGTATTATGCTTGTCATTAAGCTTTACCTGGCAAATAAATAAAACCAAGTTTGTCATTAGGTGTTAAAAATAAAAATAAAAAAAAACAATAAGCTATTCGCCGTCGCGGGCCGGATTTGGCCCGCGGGCCGCAGTTTGGAGACCCCTGCTGTAGAGCATCACGGAGCAAAAGTCAGACTTCTAACTTCTGGTGGCCCATCAGAACAGAAGCTGCTTCCTTCCCCTTCAACCATGAGTCAATACGGGTTCGTGAGCTTGGTCTAGATTAGATATCTACTAAGTGGGATAAGTAACAACATTAACCCACAATGTCCATCAGTTCGTGTCTGGGATATAAGATCCACCCATTTATAAAATTAAACAAACCTGTTTAAAATCTTTTAATATTATGTATATTTTGTGCATCTGTTGTTGTTTCTTATCCCACTTGGTAGACAGCAACATCTAGACCCACCCTGGTCTAGATGTCCCGCTGCCCGCTTTGAACATTTTTCCGGCCCATGAGATTGATCACACTTTTACACAATAAATTTATTTTATAAGGGCCAAAGGAGTGAAAACCAATGTATAAAAAAAAATGCCTTATGTGTGCATCCATGCATTGAAAAAATGAACTGTCGAAATGATGAGAAAAAATGAACTTTGATGTTAAAATAATATTCTTGCGACTATAGGGCAGATAGTGCTTGTTTTATGGATGAGTTTACAGATATGAGTTCATTGCAAGGAAAATATAGCCTTATAGTCGATACATTTAATCGCACCAAAGCATTTCAGAAGAAGTTGTTGATATTTGAATCGCAATTGAACAGTAATTATGCTCATCACTTTCCATTGTTGAAAGAATTTAAGAAATCAAAATGTAACAATTGCATCAAATATGTAAAAGAAATAAGAAAACTATATATATGTATAAAACTATTTTTTATATTTCATTTTTAAAATTATATATTAAAATTTATATTATATAATTATAATTTTATAATAATAATATTTCTTTACAATGCGTTTAGTATCATTATTATTATGTCTAGCATATAAGAATAGTAGTAAACACGAAAATAATAACTCATTATGTTTCAATGTTTCCCTCCAAAAAGATGTCTATAGTGGATCTCAATCTAATAGGGGGATATATGATTTTGTATGCGGCTCGCGGAGTTAGGGTGCATTTTCAAAGTGGCCCACAAGACGATTTGGCTTGGCCACACCTGATATAGACCAAGCCCACGAACCAGTGTGATTTCATGGTAAAAGGGAAAGGGTGGCTTCTGTTGGGATGAAGCACCCGTAGGTAGAAGTCTGACTTGGCTTCACGTCTCTTATTCTTTTTTTTTTTTTTTTTTTTTTTTTTTTTACGGGGTAGGCTTGTTAGCACTACGCCACACCGCTCTGCAGTTATATTAGACTGTGACCTACGGCTTAAAGTGGATTCAGGACCACTACAAACATCTATGGGCACCGCCGAGACTTGAACCCAAAACCTATGGCACCGAGCGTCACAGCGCTAGTCGGCCGTCAGACACTTTTGTACATCTATATTCATGAAATGCGTAACAAACTTTTGTAACGATACGTTCTTTGTAACCTAGTGTCGTATTAGCTATTTTATATATGTTGTTTGTTGTTGTTTCTTATCCCACTTGGCTGGCCAAGCCCACGAGCCCATACGCTCATGATTGAAGGGGAAGGAAGCAGCTTCTGTTGTGATGGAGCACCCGTAGGTAGAAGCCTGACTTTTGCTCCGTGACGCTCTTACAGTCATAGGAGACTGGGACCTACGGCTTAAAGTGGATTCCGAACCACTACAAACATCCATGGCACCGCCGGGATACGAACCCGAAACCTGTGGCACCGAGCGCCAGAGCGCTAGAACACTCGACCATTCAGGTCCCAAATTTCCCAACGGCACGCGGTGTTCCCAGGTGGTCACCCACCCAAGTACTGACCGCGCCCAATGATGCTTGACTTCGGTGATCTAACGAGAACCGGTAGCTATTTGATATATATATATATAAATAGCTAAATGTTACTTTGCATGTATATATATATATATATATATATATATATATATATATATATATATATATATATATATACATACACAGTAACATTTTATTTAAGAAATCTATAAAATCTACAAAAAAGTTAGTAAAACCAAAAGGAATTAATTATAACCTTCTAAAACTAGCCTTAGCAAGGAATACGTACCCTAAGGCTATTAAAAACCATGTTATGTCTGTTCGCTAGATGATTCCATGTACTGTTAATATTTAAGAATCTACTTCTCTCATGAGGATTATCGAAAAAATAGTTGAAAAATAGTGCTTCATGGAATAGGGAAATTTTCCTTCCGTGTTTGAGTGCAACAGGGAAAAACGCCCTTTTCTTGCTATCTGGGAAATCCCCACACTTGCGGTCGCACTCAAATGCCAATGGCAGATGCTTTTAAAATGCTCATTGTTTTCGAATGCTTTTTGAGTCGTTCGTGCGGGAGGGGGGGATGAAGTGTTTTTGTGGCTACTGGCTGTGAAGAGTCACTGTGTTATTTGTGTCGTTTAAGTGCCTGGAGATTTTCAAGATAAAGTATTTCGTTTACTGCTATTATTTTCCCTTCAAGATTCAGATATTATTCATGTTTACTACGCAGTAGGTCGAGAAAAACTTCCAAATCATAATGCATGTAAAAAAATATTGTACTATGAAAGATTTATCATCATTGGAGCAACAACCCCATGGTGGGCCAAGGGTATCTGCCTCCTGGCAGATTACGAGACGGGAGATATTTTTCTGTACAGGGTAAGTTTGTCAGCCCTACATTAGACCTTGGGGGGCTTGATTGCCGAGTTCCTAGCGCTCGATAACACAGGTTTCGGGTTCGAATCCCGGCGGTGCCTTGGATGTTTGTAGTGATTCGGAATCCACTTTAAATCGTAGATCCGATCTCACATGACCTTAGAGTGTCACAGAGCGCAATCAGACTTCTTCTCACCCACATCATTTCCAAACTGTAAAGGGACAACTCAGCTGTAGGCACAGTGATGTAGTGTAGTGTAGTGTAGTAATAGTAGTAGTAGTAGTATTAGACCGGAACCTACGGTTTAAAGTGGATTCCGAACCACTACAAACATCCATGGCACCGCTGGGACACGAAATAAAAGATTTAACTTTAAAAAAATTCTTTAAATCCTTTAGTTGTTAAAAATTTATTTATTTATTATTTATTTTTTTTTTTTATTATAAATTATTTAGATTTCAATGTAATAAACTCTTTTCAAATACCAGGTGTTTTTTTTTTTTTTTTTTTTTTACGATAATCATTAATGATTTTCTTGACCTATGATTACTTAAAAGTCCACGGTGCATCATCATTAATGAAGTATGTGTTGTATAGAAGAAATGTTATTGATAGCTTTAATCATATCTTTAAAACGTTAATTGTATTTTTGGGTTAATTTATACCTTCAGTCTGTAAGCCGGACTTTGAGGACCCTAAAAATTCTTTTTTACTTTTTATGCAGAAGTTGGAGTCGAGCATTTTTGTTGGTTGGTGGGGTTTAGTGACACAAGAGTCAGATTTGACTATGATGGGGCAAACAACGGTATTTTTTTAAAATTTATATAAAACAAACTTCATAAGCGTTGGCAGGTAAAAACGTAACAATACATGAATGGATAAATTGACAATTGCAAGATAAGTCAAAATGTTTTTTGTTTTTTTTCTTTCTAATGCAGCTGGCAAACACAGACGTCTTGGATGCCTTAAGGCAAGTGCTGCACAGACATACTCACTTTGCATTACCCAGGGGCCGCGTGTCGCTTGAAGATAAGCCACGGACGCGGAGTAACACTGCCCCCGCAACGCTCTGCGATCCTATTAGGACAGGGACCTACTTTTTAAAGTGGATTCCGAACCACTACACACATCCATGGCACCGCCGGGACTCGAACCCGAAACCTGTGGTACCGAGCGCCAGAGCGCTAGCCACTCGGCCATTCAGGCCCCCTCGATAAGTCAAAATGTTTAAAATCAGAAAATGATCAAATTAAAATTTGTCTACTCTAAAACCATGCCAGTGGTATCATATTCCAACATATGGTCTAAATTAGAAGAATCGCGCTGTTCCGTGTGAGATTCAGTTTCCAAGTCGACAGGAGTAGCAAAAGACGCCAATGGCTTAAACCTGTTAGTGTCAAAATGTTTTTTGAATTTCGGCAAAGATTTCGATTTAGTAGTGGAGGATTTACATTCGATGGAAGGTGTTGTACTAGTAATTTTAGGATCACTCTTAAGTTTGCAATTTGTATTCCTTGGGGTTGCAGGTAAATTAGTAGTAGATGAATATGATGGGTTAGAGATAGTAGAAGACATATGTACTAGTGCATTTGAACTTAAAGATAGAGAAGTGGACGGTCTGTCAGAAACATGAGCTGGTTTAACGGATGTCAACTTGGTATTTGAATGTGTAGAAGGCAAGCATTTCTGGAGGAGTCGTTATTAAAAACCCGACAGTACTTACGTATTAACGGTACCTTGGTGACAGACTTGGCGATTTTTAAGTGTCGCCAATCTTTATTATTTGGAATAAAAATGTTTTGAAAGCGTTTTGATTTTAAATGAAGTGTTGCATATATATTTTATTATTTGGAACAAAAATTTTCAGTGTAGATTGGCGCCAAATGTGTAGCTGCGGTTGGCGCGTGTGCTCTTTATTGGCGCAACTGTCGCCAAGGTACCGTTAATACGTAAGTACCAAACCGACTCCCGACTAATAATAATTTATACTTATTTATTCATTTTTCAAAATTTCGAGCACCGTCCAACTGGTGGCACCTGTCGCCAGGCGAAGGCGCGACCGATTGCAAATAAATAATCCAACTTGGTAACATTTGAGTCTTATCATTCGAAGGGATATTTTTATGGAAAACCTATTGGCCCATCAAGATTTGGCAGAAAATGGACATATGTAGGAGGAGGACAGGGAGAAAACGCTCAAGACAGCCTGGTTGAACATTTATTTTCCATATCGAATCTGAGTTTCCCCCCTTTTTTGGTGCAAGGGTCTGTCAAAGCATTCCTTTTTCAGGGGTGTGCCTGAACGATTACGTTCCTTCTTTGTGCTATTGAACTTACGTCGATTTATATTTTTATTTACATCAGATATAAAATAGAAATGGATATAATTATAAAAATTAAATAATTATTAATTAACGCAAATTAAAAACATTCACAAATTTATTTCATGTCATAAAAGTACTTAAAATTGAATTTTTTTAGAGTACAGGTTGTGCAGCTGCATGTGGTTGGGTTGAAATACTTGAGGCATACGTTTGAGAAGTCACAGCTTTATTGGCACATGCACAAACACTATTTAACACTTTTAAAGATACATAATTATAGATTCGTGGAAGGATTTCATTTCAAAGCCGAAAACATGATACTCAAGTAACCGCGGGATGAGCGAAAGATTCTCCGGGTGAGAATCTAAAGATTATTTAATTATTAGGTACATATATTAAATATAAAGGATACTATTTACAAAGAAATGGAAATGAAGGACAAGTGCAGTTCACTCCAAGGTCGGAGATTTTCAGAGTTCTCGAGTCTACGACGAATCTGAAACACCTGATCTGCAGAAGACCTTAACTATCACACGGCGTGGTACACGAAACCACAAAGGGCTCACTTTGAAAGCAGGCGGAACCCCAGCTTGTTCAGTCACTTCAGAGAAAAAGACAACACTTCTTGTCGACTCAGCGCAGAACACTTCTCTTTTACTTCTTCAAAAACCTCCCTTTAAGAAAATCCGTCAAGAGGAGTCAACTTCCTTCACTTCTCATTGGAGTCGACACTTCCTCAGGTCATGGTCTCACTCATCACGATGGAACAACTTCATATTCGATTTTTAGTTGTTTCGACCTGTGACGGTCGCACAGATAATTGCTAATTTCATGAAGTCTCATTATACATGACATTGATTTTCTGCTGTCAGATTTGAGTGACAGGTTGTTCTCATGAGTATAAGACACTCATTACATATAATATAAATATCCACAGCTCTGCTTATCTGCTGTCATACTTGAGTGATAGATTGTTATTATGCACTAATTAAAGAATATACATTCCTCCTCCATATTTGAGTAGATACTTTCAAAGTTGCTTTTTGATTAGAACTCGATGCTGATGCGGGCGTTCTCTTCCAGGGTTCCGAACAGCGATGTGCTACGTGATCGTGACGTCACGGACACTACTGTGGACCCTGCTGACCGTCGCCACCACCCTGTCCATGCTGGCCGCCGTCGTCACCCCCACATGGCTGATAGGGGAGCCCCGGTGGCCGGGCATCAAGGTGAGGGGGGAGACGGCAGAGAGGGAGCTCTACTCCCCCTCCCTAGGTGAGTTTGATTCTTGAGCATTCTTCCTTGTTGATTAAAGAACCTTGTGTTACAATGGAACGGAATTTATCAACGTAACAGAATTTTTATAATGCTAATATGTTGTTATTCAAATGCAGTTGGCAAAGGGCTAAATGAGTAACAGCAGTGCAGCCCTTGCTCATGGCATAAAGATAACTGTCTCAATACTGCAGGTTAAATTAAAAACAAGTAATATAAAATAAAAATAGAAATTTAAGTCAATTCCTACTTTTTTTTCACTCTATTGCAGAAAAGACCTTTATAAATAATTTTCACTCATTTCTTTCTTATCATCTATGGGTAGATACAGGCAACTGAAATCTAAAAAAAAAAAAAAAAAAAATGAATCAATGAATATTTGAATAAAGTATATTATTAACATCAAGTGACATCCATTATAAGTTTAATGAAAAAAATGTATTTGAAGTTGAGTGGATGAATAAGAAGTGTCTTATGAACGATTGGAAATTTGAACAAGATATATATAGGGAGAGTGTGAGCTAATAGAAGGAACTGAATAATGATGATTAATGTTATTATGAAGACTCTTTATTATTTTAATTATGTGGTAAGACTCA